ACATCTACAGCAGTAACATGATGCAACATACACATTAAAGCAGCAGGATAATAGTAAAACACTGAAAGGGAACATTTTATTGCACCAGGAGCTATCTTGGGACTTTTACTGCGACAACGTTGACTTGCCTGTGAATAAAAAGTAAACCATAGTGTTGGTTATCTACAATTGTCATTCTTCTTTGAACAGCAAGACCACTAACACCCTATTTCAACAATCACTCTCCCTGTCATTGACATAATTAATAGATAGTTTAGCTTCTCACCATCATTTGCTGTGGCCCACTGATGTTAACGATCATAACTGAAAGGCTGCCTGCCAAACGTAAACATTCAGCCACGTGACTTGCAAACTCTCGCGAGAGTTTTACACTAGACGGATCCTTTCTAGCCATAACCCTCTCCACGGCTCGGAGCAAAATGACTAAATGAGAAACGCACTCGCAAGACGTATCTCGAGCAGATGCGCAGGTCTCGGTTGTTTCACCAACGTGCTGGTATGAATACAGTGGCTCGGCAAAAGTTTGTTGTTGTTTTGTGTCAGTTTTACGTCGCCACTTCCATTCACATTTTTCATCATTGTTCCACAATGTTTATCATCATGAAATTAATATCTATACATGTTATACTATACTTGCACTGCTTACCGTTTTCATACGTTATATATCTTAGCATATTCATACACACTGTTCATACTGCTCACAGGCTGCTGTGTATATCTATTCATACCCCTCACTGTTTATTCATCATTCAAATCATTCTATCTTTTATTCTGTATATTGTGTACATTACTTTTCACTTTACTGCTTGTTGCACTCCTGGTTGGAAGCTAAACTGCATTTCGTTGTCTCAGTACCTGTAATATGTGCAATAACAATAAAGTTGAATCTAATCTTGACCAGGAACAAATGTATTTACTTAGTACATATCTGACCTTAACGATTAAACACATTTGTGCACTCTTTATAAATGCAAACCGAGTCAAGCCGACTCCGGAGGTGGCGGTAATGCACCTTAAAGTTGTTTGCAATCCGCCAAAAAACCGAAAGAAGAAGAAGAAGAAGGCGAAGCAGCAGAAGAAGAAGAAGAAGAAAAAGCCGACTCGGAGCTGTCCGACTTCAGGCGAGCTTTTTGAGACCTCCCCCGGCTGCGATCGGCTATTCTCGTCTACTTTCAAGGTGAGCCGCAACGCGTCTCAAACAAGACTGACGTACAACTGTCCCGCCTCAGAGGGCGTGGCTTGGTGACGTTTCAGGACCGTATGTTCAGGACACAGGGAGGACTCTCCGAAAAACAACTTTGAGATCAAAACAATATCTGAAGAACAAGCAACACAGAAGGATCATTTGGGTATAACGGCCACACCCGAGGAAAAACATTTATTTTTATTTAATCAGGTGAGTCATGATGTAGATATAAGCAGCACGGTCAAATACTGGCCTGTTTTAATGTTTTAATGTTTGGATGTCATTTGTCTTTTGTTCTCGAAGTGCAATCCTCTGGCCAGTGATATGTCTTTGGTTTGTAATGCATGTTATCGTTGAATTTATACCTCCACAAATCCACCCAATGCTATTATTATGATTAAATAAAACTGCATCGATTTGCAATCAGCTGTTCGTCCTGTAGATATCAGGTTATAATAGACCGGCCAGACAGGGATGATGTGTGTGTTTATAGGGAGGGGTCTGGTGACATTAGATTCCGGGCAAACACTGAAGGAAGTCATCCAGACACTGACACGGGTAAACACGGGTCGGTTTATGGAACTATGTTTGTCTTGAACAAACATGCAGTGTATATATCTTTCACATAACACTAGAATTAAGGTAAAACAGGAGAAACCCAAAAGTATTTTTTTATTTTATTTTACGTAGTGTTTTTTTGAGTACCTTAAAAATCGCTTTTTTAATCAAATGTATTGTTATTATTTTCCTTATTTAATAAGCCTTATTTATGTTGCCTAAGAAGGACAGGGGACTTATAAACACACATGCAGTGTACATAATACACTTCCATAATGTTACAGGTTCATTGTTTAGGACAAAATGTCATCCAGCTGCGGTTTTAGGTCACGCCTACAACTTTTCTTCATGGGAGGAGTTTAAAGCAGTGTCGCAGATTATATCATATTTTTGAAACCAGTCAAATTCGAGCGTCTTGTATCATCATGTTCCCTCAGCAGTAACATCTTAGGCTCGTGAGTCTGCGTCATGAAGCGACCTAGCAGCTCAGGGCTCAGGTTCCTGTGTTGGCGCAAGGGAAACATTGTTGATGCAGAGCAGGGGTTAGGTGATCACTGGAGAAGATCTGTGGGTTTTTATTAGCACAGCCTCACCGTGGAGCCCCCTGCTCTGCTCATGTGGACATATATCCAGGCGGAGAGGAGGTTCAGGTGGAAGAGGATTAAAGGAATACTTCACCCACAAAATCACAAATTTGTATCAGTTACCCTCGCTGTTTTACCTTGAATTATTCTTGCATGAGAACAAAGAACCCAAAAACAAATAGTTCACAAACATGAGACACTTTGATGTTTAGCTGTATCATTAAAGACATAAACATTGTTTATTTTCCGTTCACCATACAGGCATTTATTTAAACCTTTTTTTTGTCCAGGAACCTTTGAGTGAGTAATTCATATTCAAATAGTTATTTATTGTTTTGTATTCCTTCATTAAAATGTGCTGATTCTTAACATCTTTTCCCTAAATACATATTTGTATTCTATTTTTTATTTTTAAGTGGACCTTCTGCTATAACTTCATAGGTTATTAAAAACCTCTGCTTTGTTTTGTATTTGTATTGCAATTTTTTATATATATTTGTAATGTTTTATTTATTTAATTCTGATTGAGGTTTGTGAACTCAGAACTCACTATCACATCCAAAATATGGAGTCACCCAATGTCCCCAGCTGCCAAAACCCTTCCAAAAAGAATTCACAGTGTGTCTTGTGCATTGTTTGATATTCTCACTATTGTTCATTCCCAGATAGCACCTGAGTCTGAAGATGTTCGGAAAGCTTCTCTCTCAGCTGCTCTGGAACGCTGGGGAGGATTTTGAGGCAGTGGACTCTTATGAGGAGCTGATGGAGAGTGAGGAGGGAGGATGGATCATCGTTAATCTGCCAGGTAACAAATAAACCCTTCAGAGTCTGTGGCATTCACTTCTACATCATCCACTCAGTTTGGGTGCAGTGTGTTCTGGGATGTAAAGAGAAGATGTCCTCATTGCAGAGAACGAGCCCCTGTCGGCCCCCCCGGCGGGCCCCCTGGAGAACCTGCTGATCGAGCACCCCAGCATGTCCGTGTACCAAATTAGATGCATGATGAGCGGAGAGGAGGAGGAGGTTGGCTCTGACGAAGAGGAAGAGGACACCTCCAGGTTAGTCTTCATTCAGACACACTCGCCTTAGACATTGATGTATTTATTAGTTACCACACCTGGATGTCATCTTTCACGGAAACCTGTGAAAGTCCCAAAGTGTGTTGTGTTTTCATTTTAAGAATCAAGGCTGGATTACAGAAGCTAACAATGTGTATAAAGTTTCAAGAGCTCCTTTAACTTGCATTAGTCAAATACAGAAGATTAATTAGCAGCATTTGTTGAAATAATGACCTTAAGGTTTTTATATGTGTAGTGGTAGAAGGAGCATTCTGCGGATTTATTTCATCAGTGTAAGTACTGTACTGTTAAAATACTCCATTATAAGTTCAAAGATATCAATCAAATGTACTTTAACTATCAAAAGTAGTCATGGTGTATTGCATTCATTTTAATATTAGTATATATTGTTATAAATGATTGATTATGCTGAATTTTTTTTAGGTATGGTTTTCTGTTGTAGTTAGTCGATATAGAACTATTAACCAAATCAAAGTATAAGTGTGCAACCTTTCATTGACTCAATAGAGTGCCACAGTCCTAAAACCCGGAAGTAAGCTGCGCATGGGTTCCCTCGACAAAAAAGCAATGGGATTTCTCCATAGGATTTTGGAAAATAGCTGGAAATAAGGTCGGCGGAAAACAAACCTGTTAGATAAATGCACGTTTTGTTCAGCCGGATAATATCCACATGTCTACCCTACTTTTATAATTGTATTACTACTTTCATTTATAACACTATTGAAATACGCATGTGGGCGACCCTATGGAGGGGGGGTGGTGTGTATCGAAGTAGTAGTTTTGCTAACTTCTCTTCTTCTTCTTCTTCTTCTTCTTTCTTTCTCTTCGAACTCTTCTAATTCTATAAACACCATTCCGAATACCTTATAACCAAAAAAAAGCCAAGCACGGCGAAGAGCACAGTATGTACAAATTTAGCTGCCTTATCGAAATAACAATCCGATTAGGTATTCCAAATAATATAAAAGATTACTCAAATTCAACTATAAAAAGCTTGAGTGATACAACGACGGTACAAAGTACGGTCTCACCGCGCTAAAAGCATCCAAACAACATTTAGTAAACAGACCAAAAACTAATCTGTAATTAACGTAAACAAAAACAACAAACTTTCTTTTCATATACGGATGTTCACGTTACAGTAAACTCTGTACCTTGCTAGTGCCGGCCAAAAGAAAAAAATCTATGTGCTTGGTCCCACTATACTATAAAGTTGTAAGCTAAATTGCGGGAGTTTAGGTAACACACTACAATCTAGGATTTTGCTCGAATTGCAGTCGAGATACGTGTCGCGAGGACTCACGGCGCTTCTCCAAAATCGCAATTAGATACACTATATCCTCGGGTATCCATCTGGTCATATAATAATGTTTGTTATCGCGAGACGTCTTGCTACATATAAACGTCCTAATCGCGACGGTGTCTAGTGTGAAACAGGAACATCATTAGGCAACCATTACTACATTACTCAGTATAATTCTTTATAATTAAATTTCGCCTATGGATAGTAAATACAAAATAACTTGGTTTAGCATAACAAAAAAAAACAACAACGAGTGAACATTAGACTATTACTTAAGAACGGAATAATAGGATGATTAATCTGCTACTTATTGCGCGCTCCTAGGTACTCCACTTCGTGCGCCGTCGTGTGGGACGAAGGCCCGGAGCTCGGTCGCGACGGAAGGACGGTGAGGAGGTCGGCCGCCCTGTTTTCTGTCTCTCTCTACTCTTTTTTCGTGTGTGACAAGACGTTTCGTGCTCTATGAGAGTATGCGCACTCCGACGAGGACGCGTCAGGCACGACGCCACAAGGTTTTGGGCATTCTCATCAGCTCACGCAGGATTTTACTGCGCTATTTCCATAGGTTTGCCCCGACACAAGCGGCTCTCGTCTTTGTGGAGAAGAAGAACCGTCGCATTAGTGCAACACAACAACGAGGAAAATAACATTCCCCCGTCTACACTTAGTAAACAACACACAACCTCTTTATCAGACACCAACAGACGCACGACGAGCGACACAGAGCCCCCGACTACGCATCTCAGTAACGCCCTATCGTCAGCGACCCGAGCTTACGGGAAAAAAGAAGTCAAAAGGCGCCGACTCCGACACATCTGCGCGCGCATAGCTACTTCGCCCGGCTAGCTACAATCTTTCTACCTGGACGAATCGATATTAACCAGCGGTGCGGGGAGGTGCGAAGGAGTCGTGGTTCTTATTTGTTTTGGCAACACATGTGGCGGACATCAGTGCATTCAATAAGTATACCAAATAGCTGAGTAAAAGACAATAACAGTGAGAATGGACACGCGAACGCGCGACGCTTCGCGCGATTCTGGCTCTTGAAGCCATAAAACTTGATGTCTTATAGATCACAAAGTGTACGGAATCTTCCGTCGAGGCACACCATGTGATCATTCACGCCACCCGGTGAGCGAGGACATGGACCTGCGCGCGGCGAACGGAGACAACAAGACATCTCGCGTTCTCTAATTCTTGCTTTACTCTCGCGCGGTAGAGAGGCCGTCTCACAGCGCGCCGCACTCTCCTTCATTATCGTACATCTATAAAGCGTGACTAATTACATCACCCCTCAGTACCACAGTTTCCTCCCACTCCCGACACTCTGGACGGATGCGCTTAGGAATCATGATCCGCTTGCTATAGCGATGCGGCAGTGCAGTGGATACAGCCTAGGAAAGTAGAAGTACCCTGTATGGCTAGAGCGAGGTGACCGTCCGACTGGTTAAGAACAACGCACGTTATAACCGGATCTTCTCTCGCTAGCAAAAATCTAGACATGGAGGCTATCGTGAACGTGAAATATATTTACTCACAATTAACAAAAAAAGCGACGACCCGTATTATACTTGTACGCGGAACATCCTATTTATTTGACTATTGGCGTTTAAGTCTTATGGTCGAGTGAATTTTAGTAGGTTACGCTGAATCTGAGTGCTAATTGGTTTCGAGTGCATTGCATTATGGACTCTACTACCAGACTTCAATACAGGTCCTTCCGTACTTACAGGGAACTACATCTATGCATTGTATTTATACCTGCATCGTCCAAACTAGCAAGTACGAGGGTATCACTCTATACTTCTGTGTCCAAAAATTCTCGAGGATTATCTCTGATCATCGGAGCCCAGGCACAAGGAGACATCTAACAGGGCGGCGGCTTATTGAGCGAGAGAGACGCGAGTCGTAGAGGAGATCGAGTTTAGGATTATAGTGAAAAAATTAATAAATTAAAATTCGTTCAAATCCGTATTTACACTCTTTTTTATTGTGTGGACGTTCTACGAGAAATCCCGCATAGAAGAGTTTTACAAGGGGCACACAAATAGAGTTGTAATTGTTATCGGGGTGGATTTAATTAAAGGTGGTCGGGCGGTGACAAATGCGTAATGGTTTTCGTTGTGATTATCTCACCACGTCACTGCCGCAGGATTTGACCTTCATTCGACGCGTACCCAATTTAGATAAGCTAGTAATTAGAAGCTAATATTTAGATT